TTGGCCAATGCTCTAAATTATTTATTTCAATTACGTGATTACCTAATCTGATTTTATGATTTAAACGATAGAAATTCTTGCTTTATATGTCATTTAATTGGTATGCTTTATAAATGTACAGTTTTTTTATATTTTGAATTTTCAATGCTTTGTTTATATTTGTATATCTAATATTATATTTATGTTTGTAGAAATGGCTTTTTAAATTTAAATATCGTTTCTTTTAATAATAAATATTTGTTAAATTAAATTTGTATTGCTTATTAATAACTGTTATGTAAATTAAAATTTCAGAGTTGTGAAAATGATCAAAATTAAAAAGAAAGATGATGATTTTATTAAAAGTGAATCAGCTAATAATATACAAGAGGAACCTCTCACTGAACACAGGTGAGTGTTTTTAGTTTGTTTATAATATTGTCGGACATCACTATATATAATGTATTTCATTTGGGTGATTACCTAATCTGATTTTATGATTTATAAGATAGAAATTCTTGCTTTATATGTCATTTAATTGGTATGCTTTATAAATGTACAGTTTTTTTATGTTTTGAATTTTCAATGCTTTGTTTAAATTTGTATATCTAATACTAAATTTATGTTTGTTGAAATTGTTTTTTTAATTTAAATATCGTATCTTTTAATAATAAATATTTGTTAAATTAAGTTTTTAGTGCTTATTTATAACTGTTATGTAAATTAAATATTTCAGAGTTGTGAAAATGATCAAAATTAAAAATGAAGATGATGATTTTATTAAAAGTGAATCAGCTAATAATATACAAGAGGAACATCTCACTGAACACAGGTGATTGTTTTTAGTTTGTTTATTTTTAACTAATTTTACTATTAAATGAATATCCTTTTTTTTAATTAAAATAATATTGTCGGACATCACTATATATAATGTATTTCATTTGGATGATTACCTAATCTGATTTTATGATTTATAAGATAGAAATTCTTGCTTTATATGTCATTTAATTGGTATGCTTTATAAATGTACAGTTTTTTTATATTTTTAATTTTTAATGATATGTTTAAATTTGTATATTTAATACTAAATTTATGTTTGTTGAAATTGTTTTTTTAATTTAAATATCATTTCTTTTAATAATTATTATTTGTCAAATAAAAAACGTTGAGTGCTTAAGGATATAGAAGACTGAATAATTAATACAATATTGAAAAATGACCATTTAATATAATGATTTAATACCTAACTTGATTATTTACTAGCTGAGAATTTTTTTTCTCCTATCATAAATAACACTATTTAATTCACACAAAGTATGGATATTATTAAATCAAACAAACCATTTTGATTCTAAAACTGGTTAATATCTTCTTTAAAGTAATAATGCGTTCATAAATTAAATGTTCTTTTGACGAAAATAAATAATTCTTTTCCAAATAATGTCACAATTTGACTTTTTTTAAATTTTGTTTAAACCAGTATTTATAATTAAAACAACACAAAAATATGAAAAAAATAATTTCCTAATGTTGAACACGGATTTATAATTTATTTTAATGACTTATAGTTTTAAAGATATAAGATTAGTATAATAGATGATACACAAATTAAATAAAATGACCTACTTAAAATTATCATTTTAAGAAATATTTTGTGCAAAAAATTTCCGAATGTTTTGTTGTAAACTATTGTGTTTCTGTAAAACAAAAGTCATGTGGTTATCCAGACAATCAGTGTGAACTCTGAGTGTCTGATAAATTTTTATTGTTATTTAATAACTGTTGTCTCATTTTCACAAAGAGGAATTCGTTCAAGTAGCATTTTTTTTTTTTTTTTATAAATACCTAATTCGCACAAAAATTTGATTTTATACTCTTAATTTGAAAATATCATTATCACTAATAAATTTGTTTTGGATGTATTCAAATTTATTACACAATTAATTTGACACTAAAGATTTTCATTTCTGACTTATATAGTTACTTAGTTTTCTTAAAAAAAATAACTGTGATGTGAGTTGATTAAATTAACAAAAATTGGAAATTATTATTATTTTTTGGAACTGAAGCATTTAAAAATTCTAATAAATTAAATTAATTAAATAATAAATGATAAACAAAATTATTCAATCAATGAATGTACTTATTTACAATTTAAAATATAATATTTGGCAACACTATATATTATGTATTAAATAATTTTTATTGGTTATTTGTAATTCTTATGACAATTGAATATTTCAGAGTTGAGTGTATGATGAAACCAAAAGAAGAAGTAGATGATTTTATAAAAAATGAAATAGATAATAATTTACAAGAGGAAGCTTTCACTAAACCTAAGTGAGTATTTTTAATTTTTTTGTTCATATCTATTTTCAATAATAAATGAATATACTTATTTATAATAAAAGAGATATTGTTTTATCTGATTTTTTGATTTATTAAATAAAAATTTCTATTTTATATGTCATTCATTGTGTATGCTTTACAAATGTACAGTTTCATTATGTTTTGCCTTTACAGAGGTTAGGTTATCCAGACAATCAATGTAAACTCTGAATGACTGATGGATTTTTATGTCTAATTTATAATTATTATGAAAATTTAATTTTTCAGAGTTGATGTTATGATACATGAAATTGATGGTTATAAAAAAAGTGAATTAACTAATAATTTAAAAGAGGAACCTTTGTATGAACTCCAGTGAGTATTTTTATAATTTGTATATTCATATATATTTATAATTTTAAATTCAAATAGACATTAATAATATGGTACATTTGATTTATTAATTGCCTTTGCATATTAGAAACTCTCTGATAACATTTAATTTAACTTCATTATTAAGGCTACTATGTTTTATATCTATAACAATTATAATTGTTTTAAAATTGATTATTATAATTATTTTAAATAAATTTGTTTACAATATTACAAAATTCCCAATTAACTAGAGATGAGATTGCAGGTTTTATTAAAATATATATATATATATTTTTAACAAGAGAAAATAGAAAGATACAGAAAGAAACAATATATTTGTTTTTATTTACAATTTTATTTTTATTTATAACTTTTATATTTATTTATTTTGTTTTTATTTTAACTACAATAACTTATCTGTGGAATGAAAAAAGTTTCAATCATTTAATTTATAATATGAACTATCTAATGTCCATGGGAAAAATGTACATAATAAAATACTATAACATTATTTATATAACTTTCCTCTATCCTTTCTGTTCAATGGATATTGCAAATACTGTTTAAACATTCTTAAAAAACAACATCACTTATACCAAAATTGATAGTTTTTTTCGAAAAAATGTCACAATTTGCCCTTTTTAAAATTTGATTTGAACTGGTGTATAAATAAGAAATAATACAATTAAAGGAAAAATTAATTTCTTAATGTTGAACACAGATTTATATTATATATAATTATAAATAATATAATATCTAATATCAATGAAGCTATAAGATTAGTATAATAGTTATATACAAGTTAAATAAATTTACATACCTAAAATTATCATTTTGAGAAATATTAGTCCACAGAATTTCAGCATTTATTTTGTTTATTGTTGGGTTTCCTAAGAACAAAATTCATGTGGTTTTCCAAACAGTGTGAACTCTGAACAACTAAATAAAGTGTATTGTAAGTTAAAATTATTATGTCATTTACATTTTTCAGAGGTGATGGTGTAGTCAAACATGAAGAAGGAATTAATCAATATATTATAAGTAAGATAACTAATAATTCAAAAGAGGACTCTTTATATCAACCCCAGTGAGTATTTTTAATTTGTTTATTCATATCTATTTAAAAATTTTAAATTCAAATAGACATTTTTAGGCAGAAATAGACAGAACACTATTTTTAATATTAAATGAATATACTTATTTTTAATTAAAATAATATTGTTGGCCAATGATATAAATATTGTATTTCAATTAGGTGATTATCTAATCTGATTTTATGGTATATAAGATAGAAACTCTAGTTTTTTATATAATTCAATCTTTATGTTTTTTAATAAACATTTTATTTTAAATTTAATAAATGTTTAATTTAATATTATTTATATGCCAAATAAATAATTATTAAAGCTGAAGGACAAAGAATACTGACTAAATAATGCAATATTTAAAAATGATAATTCAATATCAAAAATTAATTTTTAAATTAATTATTTACTAGCTGAGAATATTTTTCTCGTATCATAACGTTATTTAATTCACACTAAGTATGGATATTGTTAAATCCAACAAACCATTTTGATTCTAAATCTGGTTAATAACNATTATATAATATTTATTATAATATTAAATATATCAGAGTTGAGATATCCTCAACTAATAGATGATATACAAATTAAATTATATGACCTACTTGAAATTATCATTTTGAGAAATATTTTGTCCACATAATTTCTGAGTGTTTTGTTGTAAATTGTTGTGTTTCTGTAAAACAAAAGTCATGTTGTTATCCAGACAATCAGTGTGAACTCTGAGTGTCTGATAAATTTTTATTGCTAATTAATAAATGCAATGTAAATTAAATATTTCAGAGTTGAGAATATGATCCAAATTGAAGAAGATGATGATTTTAATAAACATGAATCAGCTAATAATTTACAAGAGGAACCTTTCACTGAACCCCAGTGAGTGTTTTTAGTTTGTTTATTTATAACTATTTTTAATATTAAATGATTACACTTATTTTTAATTAAAATAATATTGTTGGTCAATGCTATAAATTGTGTATTTCAATTAGGTTATTACCTAATCTGATTTTATTATATATAAGATAGAAATTCTAGTTTTTATATAATTCAATCTGTATGCTTTACAAATGTACAGTTTTTAAGTTCTGCATTTACAATCTTTTGGTTAAATTTGTATACTTAATAATAAGTTTACTTTTTTCAACAATTATTTTTAAATTTAATAAATGTTTATATCAATGTTATTTATATAACAAATAAATAATTATTAGGGCTAAAGGACAAAGAATACTGACTAAATAATGCAATTTTAAAAAATGATAATTCAATATCAAAAATTAATTTTTAATTTAATTATTTACTAGCTGAGAATTTTTTTTCCTATCATTAACCTATTTTATTCATACTTTAAATTATATAATAAAGCTGAAAACACGATTTTAATTTTAAATCTGGTTAATATCTACTTATAGGTTTGACCAAAATGGATACCTTTTTATGAAAAAATGTCTCAATTTGCCCTTTTTAAAATTTGATTTGAACTGGTGTATAAATAAGAAATAATACAACTTAAAAGAAAAATTAATTTTTTAATGTTGAACACAGATTTATACTATATTTATTTATAAATAATAAAATATCTAATATCAATGAAGCTATAAGATTAAGATAAGATTAGAAATTTACATACCTAAAATTATCATTTTGAGAAATATTAGTCCACAGAATTTCAGCATTTTATTTTGTTTATTGTTGGGTTTCCTAAGAACAAAATTCATGTGGTTTTCTAAACAGTGTGAACTCTGAACAACTAAATAAAGTGTATTGTTAGTTAAATTTATTATGACATTTAAATTTTTCAGAGGTGATGGTGTAGTCATACGTGAAGAAGGAATTAATCTATATATTATAAGTAAGATAACTAATAATTCAAAAGAGGACTCTTTGTATGAACCCCAGTGAGTATTTTTAATTTGTTTATTCATCTCTATTTATAAATTTTAAATTCAAATAGACATTAATAATATAGTGCATTTGATTTATAAGTTGCCTATGCATATTAGAATCTTTCTGATGTCGTTTATTTCATCACCAATATTAATTTTGTATTGTTTTTTATTAAAACAATAATGAATGTGTAAAAATAAATAATCAATAATATTTTAAAAAAATTTTAAAGAAAATTGTTTAAAATAACATAAAATCCTCAATTAACTAAAGATGAGTTGGCAGGTTTAAGTAAAAAAAATATATATATATATATAACAGGAAAAAATAGAAAGATACAGAAAGAAACAATGTATTTGTTTTTATTTAATATCATATATCTATTATCAACTACAATAACTTATCTGTAGAATGAAAAAAGTTTCAATCATTTAATTTATAATATGACCTCTTTAATGTACATGGATAAAAATTTCATAATAAAATACTATAACATTATTTATATAACTTTCCTCTATCCTTTTTGTTTAATAGATATTGCAAATACTGTTTAAACATTCTTAAAAAACAACATCACTTTGATATGCCATCCTGCTTGAGATATTCTTTTTTCTAGAATATTGTTATTCATATTATATTTAGTCCTTTATATATTATTTGTATTATATTGTACTGTACAAACCTCTTTAGTATTTAAACAGTATTAATATTTATCAAAATTATCTTTTTTTTATCAGGCCCAAATATATCAAGAACAGAATTGAAGTAGATGTGAATGGAGAAACGCATGCTAGAAAACAACCTACTGAGCGTAAAATAAATAAAGATAAACGTCGTGGCAGGGTTAATATTTACCCATGTTTAGAATGTAATCTGACATTTAAATATAATTCTAAATTAACTGAACATAAAAATATTTATCATAACAATAAGAAATACGAATGTGAGGTATGCGACATGAATTTTACACATAAATCTAATTTAACTCAACATGAAAAAATTCATAGTGGGCAAAAATCGTACAAATGTGAAATATGCAACATGAAATTTAATAGGATAGTCCAATTCGTTTTGCATAAAAGAATTCATAATGGGAATACACCTTTCAAATGTTTAACATGTAAAAAAGAATTTACTTTTATAGCTGATTTAACTAAACATAAAAATACTCATAGGGAGAATTAACCTTATCAACTCGATATAGATGAACAGTATTTTATTCAGATAGTTCAATAATCTCCACTTAAAGTTATTATTAGTTCAGTCAGCCTTTAATCCTATATGGTATGTAAACAATTTGTATATATTTATAGTTAATAATTATATGAATACAAAATGAATAAAAATAAAAAAATGATAAAGGCCCTGGAATATTATGATAATTGTATTATAAAGAGAATATTTTTTGAAGTTTTTAGTTATATTGTTTATCATGTTAGATTCAATTATTATTAGTCTTAAAAGTGGTTTTGACATGTTTTGTATTATTATTCTGAATTTTTGCAAATTTGTTAAACATATTAATATGATACACCAATCCTATCTTTTCTGTAAAAGTTATGCAATTTAGTCTTGTTGATATTCTAATTTGTAATTGGACATACACAGTTTGTAAATAAACATAAAATAATACTTTACATATTTCATTTAAAATTATATTTGTATAGTAATCAAGTTTGACATTTAAAAATGTAACTAATATTTAATTAATTTTTTTTATATTGCACTCTATCTAAATATATATTTTTTAGTTTATAATTTATAATATGTAATTTTAAATGGTTAGTTTAAATCTGTAATTTGTAATTCTCTNAACAACATTGTGCTAAAAAAGATAATTTCCTTTTTAAAAATTACCAAGAAATAAATCGTATTGTATATTAGTAGATCAAACAGGTATTTATAAAACAAACTAATGTGTATGTATTAGAGATTATGTTTAAGAAGACATTACACATACATTTGTTGGTTCTGTTTTACAAACACAATATTATATAGTAAAAACATGCTTACAAAGACTACACAGAACTGTATAGTTTTAGGGTAAAAACACCTTTAATGAAATTAATAGAGAAAAATATTCAGAGAGCAAGATGTTCTAATTATTTGAAAAAGTTATATTTTTTTTTTAAAGTTGTATGGAACTAAAACATGTTAAAGGTGTAATTATTTATAAACATAAATAGAAAAAACCCATCTCGCCCTCTGGAATATTGTTCTTTTTTAATGTTACAATAGGTGTTTTCACATTAAAACCAAAATTAAGCAAGTTCCTTGTAGTTTGCATGTGTACTGTACTCTTATTAGTGAATTTATTTTAAATTTACAGAATAATATTAATCTACCAATTACCATTTTAAATTTAATTTAATTTTACCTTGCTTTTACTACTTTCATTTTTCTATTTATCTTTTAGATTCTGAGAGGAGAAAGGAATGTATTGGTTTTACAATGATGTTTTTTTAGATTTTGAGTGGAAAAAAAACCTTATGGTTTTGTTCCAATTTTTAAGTGAAGCACGTTTATTGAAAGAAAATTTTATTTTTCCGTTTATCATACTATATTGTTTTAATATTTCTCCTCTTAGATTATGGTCTTGTTATATTCCTTGTGACTCATCTATTCCTGTTTTTCCTTGGAATATTCTATTTAGTCTTATTCAGCCTAATTCCCTACTCAATGCGTTGACTTCAATGCTTTTCCCTCTGTGTTGGGTTCTCCTACTGCCTCTTGCTGAGCCAACGCTATTTTTAATAATATCTGCTCACTTGGTCTATTTTTCCTTAGCTATGGCAGTCCTACTCATTTCGGTTGCCCAGGCTCTTCTGACTTTTGTATCAACTTATTTTTTTGTTTACCTGACTTCTCTAAAATTCATCTTGGTCTAAACTCACTGATTCTTATGGCAGTGATCATTTTCCTATTTTTATTTCCGTTCTTTCTCAGTCGGTTTCCGTCAATTTCCCTTGGCCCTATCTTCAATCTAGTCGTTGTTTCTCTAGTTTTATTTTGTTTAATTATAATAAAGCTGACTGGACATCTTTCTCTCTTCCTATTCATAATACAATTACCTCTATTTCTAATGATCCCCCTGCCATCAACCTATGCCCATTTTACATATATTATTGACAATGTTGTCAAATTGTCTATTCTAGTTCACCATATGAAAAATAATAAGTATCCTTACTCCTCGAGATTTTCTCTTGTACTGATGCTATTAAACATAGTCCGTCACTTTTTAAATCTTTTCGGCGTTCTAGTTCTACTGTTAATTTTTTGAATTATTGTAACCTTTGTGCTCACACCACTCGCCACCTTAAAAATTTAAAGACAAATGCTTGGAAAAATTTTTACTCAAACTTGAATTCCACGTCATCCATTCAATTTCTGTGGCATACAGCTAGATACTACATTCCTTGTCCTATCAATGACGATTTGTTCAATGACTCTTGCTCAAAACTCGCTCCTTGTTACGTTCCCTTTATATCCAAGCTTATTCTCTACATTTTCTTAATAAATTCTTCCACATGTTATTATAAACCCTTTCACTATTTTTGAACTAAACCATGCAATATTTTCACGCCGCTCATCAGACTCTGATCCTGAAAATATTTCTCCTCTCATGTTGAAACATCTCCATTATAAAACTATGGACTTTTTTCTATGGTGCTACTGTTATTTCACGTGCATACTTTTTCACATTATTGGTCAGTAATCCAAGAAAGCTGCTAAAGCAAGGAAGAAGTATTTTAGATTGTATAGACTAGGGTGACCATACGTCCTGTTTTTTACAGGATTGTCCTTTATTTCAGCAATGTGTCCTGTTGTTCTAACAAACTTCTTACAGGACGCTTTTTGTCCTGTTTTTTTGATCAAACAAAATGAATGAATTTGAAGACGAAACTTGCGAAAATAATGAATAATAATTATAATTGTAATCTTGTAATTGTCTGAATTTATCAGTATGGGGTT